CTTTTTTGAGCAAGAGGATGAACAGTCTTCTTTGGACAGTCAAGATATCAGTTGACATGGAAAGAAACAATAAAGTTATTAATAAGAAGATTTGAAATTAATGCATGCATATGAACTTTTCAGCACATCCTCGAATATTAATAATTATGTAATGGATAGTGGCTCGGATTGAAGAATCGGAAAGTCGAGTTCGAATTCCATCCGGATCCATTGCATTCACTGATGTGCTAATAACTTTGGGAAAGGTATGAATATTCTTCTTCTTCCCCTTCCTGGTATGGGTAAATAGCAGGACAGACTGGGTTCAATAGCTTTGAATGTCAACTGGTCAAGGAAAAGGACAACTCTGAATTCTAAATCGGAGAAGAGTCGTTTGGGAAACTTGTGGCACGTTGTGCACCAGATCTCTGCGTTCGGCTCTTCAAAAAGTGTGGTTGGTTCTGCACAAAGCCTTCACCACTAAAATGCAGGTGTCTGGCTGTCGATTCCTAACAATATATATCTATATATATATATATATATATATATATATATATATATATACTGGACTTCACCAGTAGTTTTGTTGACTTATGAAGGTCAACAAAATCAGTTACTAGGAATCGACAGCCAGACACCTGCATTTATATATATTCAAACCTATCCATTACTCCTCCTGTACCTCAATATATATATATATATATATATATATATATATATATATATATATATATATATATATATATCCATTACTCCACTGTGCCCAGTAGTATATATATATATATATATATATATATATATATATATATATAGAGAGAGAGAGAGAGAGAGATTGAGGAATCATAGAGCTGAGTTCGAATTCCAGTCGAATCCATTACATTCACTTACGTGCTAATACCATTGGGAAAGGTATGAATCTTCTTCTTCTCCCTCCAGCTATGGATAAAATAGCAGGGCAGACTGGGTTCTATAGCCTTGGATGGCAACTGGTCTAGGAGAAGGACAACTCTGAATTCAAAACCCGCGGAGGGTCGTTTGGGAACCTTGTGGCACTTAGTGCACCAGGTGTCTGTATTCGTCCCTTCAAAAGTGTGGATGGTCCTGCACGAGGCCTTCTCCACTATAATCAAATCTCATGTGTCGTTGTCGGGCTGTCGGTTTCCTGGAAACTGATTTGTTTGACCTTCATACGTCGAAATCAACGGGAGAGTCGGCTATATATATATATATATATATATATATATATATATATATATATATATATATATATATAGTTCTGTGCGAAAGTAAGTGAACCCCCAAGATGGTATTTTTTTAAAAGTGTCTTTTTTCCCAAATAATCAACAAATCTTAATTAAATCATATATTCATTAAAAAATTTATTAAACAAAGTACAACCTCTTCTAAATTTATATCAAACTTGAATAAAAAATATTAATTGAAAATTAAAATTAAGGTGTGCAAAAATTAAGTGAACCATTACATTTATACTTTGTATTTGTGTTTTACATGGTTGCCAGTGTAAATAATTTTTCGTGCACATGTAAAAATCAAAATGACACCTGTTTTTTTTTTTTTTGTAAGTTGTGTACACTACTGTCAACCAAGTACAACGCATTGTGTATGGAAAAGGGTGCAGTTCGAGGCTAAATTAAAAATATACACGCAAAGATCGAAAGGACTTCCTGAAGCTTTAAAAATCGCCTAGTTGAAATGAAGGAGGCTACAAAAAGCTATCAAAACATTTTAGAGTGCACGTCTCCACCGTACGGGAAATTATTTATGAATGGAAGGCTTTGGCGTGACGAGATTGAAATCAAGAAGTGACTGTCCGCGAAAAATAACTGCAATTGCAAGTAGACATCTAGTTCGACAAGCCCAGGCGAATCTTGATATGACCTCTGCGGTTCTCCAAGGCTCCCTGGCCAATGTTGGAATCAATGTGCATGCGTCTGCAGTGCGACAAAATCTGAACGATGTCGGTCTTCATGGCAGAATGCCTAGAAAAAAAAACACAACTTATGAAAAAGGCATGGAATGGCCTAGTTAAAATCCTCATGTAAACCCAATTGAAAATCTGTGGTTCAAGTTAAAGAAGGAAGTACCCATGAAAGAAGTCCAATTAATATCGAGCAACTCTGGGAGTTTTGCCAGAAAGAATAATCAAAAATTGACGTTCATTACTGCCAGAAATTTCTTTAAAATTATAGAAAAAGCGGGTCGACGTCGAAAGAGGATTCACTAAATATTAAATGTAAGGATTCACTTTTGCACATCTTAATTTTTAATCTTAATTAACATATTTATTCTAACCTGATAGAATTTTTTGAAAGTGGTTGTAATTCGTTTAATAAAGATTTTTCATAATGAATATATAGTTTAGTTAATGTTTTTAGTCTCTTATTGTTCTTACTGCAACATTTCAGCCGATCCATTCTTCAACCTTCCGCAGGTGCACAATCTTTAATAATAATAATAATAATAGACAATGATGTAAACAAACCCCGTGCCCATCAGTGGTTACGTAGTGCAGGGTTAAAAGCTGAAAGTGAAAGCTGCACAGGACCAATGCTTTTCTAACTAGAAATTACCAAGCACACATACTGAAAAATTGTGTTTGTCCAAAATGCAGATTCTGTGATAAATGTCCAGAAACAATTGACCGGTTGCGCGGATTTGGCACCCACTGAATATAAGACCCAGCACGACAGAGTGGGCCAATATCTTCACTGGAAAATCTGCAACATTTATGGAAAGGAAACTGCAAGAAATTGGTATGAACACCACCCAGACCCGGTTACGGAGATAGGACCTGTAACAATTTTATAGGACTTTACAATACACACTGACACAATCAAAGCTAATAGCCCTGACTCGTGATTAGAGACGGGAAAGACAAAATGTGCCTCCTTATTGACATAGCAGTCCCCGCAGGCTGCAATGTATCTTTGAAGATCTTCAAAAAGCTATCAAAATAAAAGGACCTTGAAATGGAAATCTCAAAATTGTGGCACATGAGAACATTAACAATTCCAGTTGTAGTTGGAGCCCTCCAATTGATTGGAAAAGATTGCAATAGACTTGAAGGAATCCCTCGTAGACTTGCCTTAAAGAAATACGAAAAAATTGTACTCACAAGTACAGCTCTCAGCTTACGAAGGGCTTACTATGTAAAAATATGTGCGATTTTTTTTTCAAAACTGCTTAGTGGAAAATGTCATGATGCCATTTCTGATCTTAGATCTCTAGTCGGGACCCGGAAAGAAATGAGCATATACCAGAAAGCAAAGGAAATAAAACAACAATAATAATAATAATAATTGTTCTCACAAGAACAGCTCAGACATTACGAAGAGTTTTATCTATGTAAAATGTATGTGATCTTAGTTTTTGATTTTTGTTTTTTACAAAAATGATTTGTGGAAACTTTCATGAAGCTATTTCTGACTTTAGGAAATGTGTACACAACAGAAATCAAAAGAAATAATAATAATAATAATAATAATAATAATAATAATAGAATCCTGTTTGTGAAAAGCTGGCTGAACAAGCAGATGAACATTATCTTGTTTTACCTGAAATGGTCGATTTATTTCTGGGTAAAAGAGAATAAAAAGAATTGAATTTTGGAACAATAAATGCAAATTAGGTCAAAACGAATAGAAATAGAATCAAGGGTTGAATTATTAAAGCTGAAATTCTTTTGGGAAGCAGCCAATCTAATGATGGTGGACTGACTGAGTTTTGCCTCCCTTTAAATATTGATTATTGCTTTTGGTAATGGAAGAACACGCGCAGAAGATGCAAATTACTCCTACCGTCTACTTGGTTTACAGTTTATATCACTTGAATGGGACTTTTGCATAAAAATAACAATTCGTATTATTTTTTTTAATACGCTTTTGGTTCAATAGCAGTGTAAACGAAGTTGAGTAGCCTTGAGTGACATCTAGTCTAGGAGGAGCACTGCTAGTACTATTCTGAATTCAAAACCTTGGAGAAGGCAACGGTAATTCTATCTATTATTTGTCCAAGGAAGATATAGTGGTTCGCAGATAGTAAAAAGGAATCTGCCAAGAGACATAAATGCACCCGACTTGAATGGACATTGCGTTTAAAAAGATAAAATAGAATTATTTAATGTTAATAGTATTGTAAAGAGCAACTCGAACAGGCAGAGGTTAATGAAATGCTTATATTTTATAATTATTTTCTAGGTTCAGCTTAATATGACTCAAGGCTACAGATACTGAGCACCCAGTGAAGGTGATTTTCTAAACGTAGCTTAGATGTGGCACGAGGCCCAAAGTATGATGTCCTCAATGAAGATCGAATTTACTAACAATTGCTCCATACTAAGATAACCAATTATTGACAATTCTCTTTATTAATATGTGAGCGCTTGCTGGAGAGACAAAAACGTTAGCTTTGATACCCGTGTTCGAATTTCATCATGACTGATTTGCCGAGACGACTATTGTTTTTTTTTTAATAATTGTATCAAGAGACGAGCATAATATGCGGTGGTAATTTCAACCTTACTCAAAATCTCGTGAGCGCGAGACTTTGACGTTCGAATGCGCAAACGCTGACTGTTTTTTCTTATCGAAGCAATAGAATAAAAAAGAAATACTGAAATACGCTTCGAACAACCTCTAATGCAATACAAAACAGAGAAAGGACAACGAAATTTTAAAACGCTGTCACTGCCTCCACTCGCATGAAAGCAAAGATAAAGAAACCCTTTTGAACGACGCCTTTAATCGATATGTTGTTTTTATGGCTTATCAACCTTTTTGTAGGTTATTTAAAGCCTGAAAATATTTTTAGAATGTAAGAAATTTTTGAAGATATTGATTTACTGATACAAGTACTACTAATTAACCCATAGCTGAGGGATCCATAACTTTCTCAAAGATATTTTCGCGTAAGTGAATATAACAAACCTGACTGGAATTGGAACCCGGCTATTTGATTAACATTTCCGAACCATTACCCATTACACCACCCGCACATCCAAGCTTACAGCACCTGGTATTCCCAAGCGGTTAGCCACCTAGGTATTGACCAGGATCGACGTTGCTTAACTTCGGTGATTGTACGGAAACCGGTGTTTCAACGTGATATGGCTGCAAGCCTGCCTTTAATCGTGAAATGATTAAGAATTTTATATAACGCTAGAAAGCTAGTTACAACTATAGTGATTACGATTCTCACTAGGTGTCTCACACTTGCGGTGGCCATGTGCTAAACTAAGCTAAAGTGATTATGTGCTGCGACACACCTTGGAGAATGAAAATCAAGCTTTTCTTTCAGATCATTATTACTTTATTAAAATCAATCATCGCTAATTTTCCATTTGTGGTCTTGTGCTAAAATAATACTTGGATGCTTCTTTACCCATCTGCTTGGGTAGCTAATCCTTGGTGCAGACGCTTGCTCAGGCAATGTAATTAAGCGAGGGTGCCGATTAAACGAGAAACAAGTGTAGACTAACAGATAACATGAAACTTGAGTTTTTCGTTAATTACGCGTTACATTTTATTTCACAGATGAATTTTTCTCGGCCAGTGTGTGAGCTTCGGCTGCGCCCTCTCTTCCGACACACGTTCTTTACATTCTCGTCCTCTCTGGGGCGGTTGCATTTTGTTTTTAATAACTGCTTATTTAATTGTCTGTATTATAAATCTTTCCCACGTTTGCAAAAACGGATGCCGGTCTGAGATCAGATGATTCTGAATTCAGCGGCCGGGATTAGCCCCCAACGCCTCCAAGTTAACCCTGCACTTAGCTTCCACACACATGAGCACATACGCGCAAACACATACGCACACATACACACACATACACGAGTAGGGGTGTCAGTGTGAAAAAAGTGTTTATACCTATGTTCACACCTATAAACGCTCTAGCTGCGATGCTGAGAACTCTTCCTTTGATATTTTAAACAATATACAGTTTTTTTTATCAGCCTGAAGCTTAAGATTCGTCCAAAAGTTAAGCATAGTTTAAGCCTGAAGCGAAACCTAGAATTTTTGAAGCAACTTTATTTTTAAATAACATTCTCTTCATCTTCCATTATTGCGATGTAACTTCCACTCGAGCAACTTCTTCCCACAAACCACTGCGTTGTGGAACCGACTCCCAAGAGGATGCTTCCCCGATCACTATAATCTTAACCTGTTCAAGTCTAGGGTTAATCGTTATCTTACCTACATATGCCGATAAACTGTGCTTCTTACTTTGTAACCGTCGACCTCGATGGCCACTTGGGCTTTGTATAAGGTGAAAATTATTGTAAAAAGTAATTACCTTCCTCAAATTTTGAAATAAATTTTGATTTTTAATCCCTTCTGTTTTTATTTTGAAATTTGAATTCATTCACAATGCACATAAATCTACCAATTAGTGAAGTTTTTCATGAACGAATGAAAGCGGCCAGGTGATATTGCACAAATTTATGTTCAAACTCTGCTCGGGGTCTATAAAATTGGTCCGAATCGAACGAAAAGTGAATGAGAAAAAATTTAACTGAATGCACCTAAACGAGATATTGCTGCTCAAATGCATATATATATATATATATATATATATATATATATATATATATATATATATATATATATATATATATATATATATATATAGTAAGTAATCCAAGTGAATTCTAGTAATATAAAATATTAAAACTGATTCACAGAAAAGAACTCAATGTATTTATTACATAGCGTATATGAATTACAGATAGATGAAAATCACTCCCCCACAAGTTGGAAGGGCGAAATGGCCATTCTTGTGTATATATATATATATATATATATATAGGATGATTTTATTTTTTCAGTTTAATTGAGTGTGTGCGTTATGTGTCTGTTTTTAGTGTCTTATAGAGATGTTTTATTTTACGAACACGGTTAGCCCATTGTGGCCTAGTTCGTAGTTAAGAGCTTGCTTTTTCTTTTAGGGCTTCCATTATGTTTAATCGTTTTTTACATGTGGATGAAGTTACTATGTTTGTGTTTTCTACTAGTAGGTCTGGTAGGTCTAGTAGGTCTGGTAGGTTTGTGTGTGTGTTTAAATGGGTTCTAATAAAGCTCTGGTTAGATAGGTGTAACGTAAGGCATCTGGATAGGCATGCAGTTGTGTGATTGATGTATTTAGTTATCAGTTCGGTTTGTATATATATATATATATATATATATATATATATGTGTGTGTGTGTGTGTGTGTGTGTGTGTGTGTGTGTGTGTGTATACAAGGTAACCCAAAAAGTTCTGTCCGTTTTTTGATTAGTCATTGAATTAAGTTGAAATATATATGAAATGCGTGTAGCAATTGTTTTCAAATTCGGACAGCCGGAAGTAGGAACATCAGACGTTATAAAAAAACACGCGCACCGTGCCTGGTCATCAGTTATAAACCGGACAGCTGTGAGAAGGATGGAAGTGTCTAGTGATCTTGTTCGGGGCTGTTTGCTTTACAACTTCAAAGTGGGCTTATCAGCAGCTGCATCAAGTCGCCGCATATGTCAAGCGTTTGGTGATAGTGCTGTGGATGAACGTACTGCAAGGCGTTGGTTTCGAAAATTCAAGTCGGGAGATTTGTCTCTCCATGATAAGCCTCGCAGTGGACAACCACAGGTCTTGAATGTGGCCATTGAAGAGGACTGAAGGTGGCCATTGAAGAGGACAGTAGTCTAATGTGTGGTGAACTTGCAAGACAGTTCAACGTTTCCAATGAAACAGTTAGACTTCACCTGCACCGCCAAGGTAAGATGTACAAACTGAGAAAGTGGGTTCCGAAAGCGCTGTTGGGGGTCCACAAGGGACAACGAGTGGCGGCTTGCTTTCTCGCCACCGTACTGCATCCTCATTCAATCGAGTGCTTACCAGTGATGAAAAGTGGGTTCTGTACAAAACTCCCAAGCGTCCCAGACATTGGTTTTCTCTTCAGGATGCTGTCCCTCACACTGCAAGACCGCCTATGCACCCACGCAAGATTTGTGTCTGGTGGACAGATCGTCAAGTGGTTCATTATGAACTGCTACCAACGGGCCAAAGGGTCACTGGAGACCTATACTCGCAGCAATTGAAATGTGTGCAACAGGCGTTGCGCCAGAAGGAGCCAGCACTGGTGAATCGCAAAGGTGTGCTTTTCCTTCATGACAACGCCAGGCCGCATGTCGCGCAAGTGGTCAGGGATACCATACAGCAACTTGGGTGGGAGATTTTGTGCCATCCCCCTTATTCCCCTGGCCTTGCGCCATCCGATTACTACCTCTTCCACTCCCTGAATAATCATCTTCGTGGGAAATGCTTCACCAATGAAGCAGACTTGCGCAAAACCCTCACGGACTTCTTTGCGTCAATCCCCCCACCCCGAGTTCTACCGCAAGGGCATTGAACAGCTGGAGATACGTTGGCAGAAGGTGCTGGATGCCGATGGCGATTACTTCGAAGACTAAATATAAGTTACACATACTGTGAAGCATTTTCTTTTTTTCCTTTAAAAACGGACAGAACTTTTTTGGTTACCTTGTATATATAATATATATATATATATATATAGAGAGAGAGAGAGAGAGAGAGTGAGGTAGATAGGTGTGACCGTTACATTAAGGCATCGCTAATGAAAGACAAACACGATATTACATACAATATTTGAAACCGCGTTGGATGTTACTTATATAATTTAATTTCACGCTGCTTATTTTCATGGTCGAGAGAATGCCAATCGAGAAATTTGAAAGACGACAAAAAATGTCAAAAATGAATACTAGAACCATTTAATCCAAGGATTCAACTAAATGGTGTGATTACGCTCTGAGGTTCAAGTAGAGTTACTTCTTGCCATGGAACAATGATATAAAGATTCCAGAAGTGCTAGTTTACTCAACTAGTATATTTAGATGATCATCTCCCATCTTCAGTTAAACGCTAGTACGAATAATTACAGATATTACACTGGCTTTTTTATACCCGCCCGTAACATCTGAATCAGACGAACGCATATGAAAGAAGCCATTGAAAAAGGAAGGGAGACATCTTGTCGACATTCTGATTGGTTTGCCTGAATTTTTTTCATTGGCTCATATCAATATGCTAATCTCTATTCAGAAATTACGATCGGCTCCATTTATTTTTTCTACGTGATCTTAGAATTGGTCAGGTAGGCTATATCGTGAATGTAAAATGCGATTCATTCAATATGATACAAAGAGTCCTAGTCAGGGAGTTTGTTTAAAGGTTTTTGAGCAACAAAAGAATGACCTCCTATTCTAAGTGCAGAATGCATCTTTGCTACTTTAACCATAGTATGGCATGAGGCGACATAAAGGAAAGCGTCTGACTTAGAAGACGGCGTAAATCACGTGAACACCCTTCTATCATCAGACTGGTCTACGTGTGAAGATGTTTAAAATCAGTCGGAAATCTGAAAGAGCTTAGGAAAACGAGACAATAGAGAGTCAAAATAGTAGGCATCGGTTTGGCTTACAAAAGAATAAAAAAAACGTATACATAGGTTTGATTGCAAGAATGTCAAAAAGCTAGACATAGGTTTGGCTTACAAGAGAGGCAAATGAAGGTATACATAGGTTTGATTGCAGAAATGTCAAAAAGCTAGACATAGGTTTGGTTTGCAAAAGAATCAAAACAGATATACATAGTTTGATGGCAGGAATGTCAAAAAGATAGACATAGGTTTGGCTTATAAGAGAGTCAAAAAGAGGTATACCTAATTTGATTAAATGAATGTCAAAAAGCTAAGCATAGGCTTGGCTTACAAGAGAGTCAAAAAAGTTTTACATAGGTTTGATTACAGGAATGTCAAAAAGATAGACATAGGTTTGGCTTACAAGACAGTCAAAAATAAGTATACATAGGTTTGATTGCAGAAATGTCAAAAAGCAAGACATAGATTTGGCTTACAAGATTGTCAAAAAAAGGTATACATAGGTTTGCTTGCAGGAATGTCAAAAAGCTAGACATAGGTTTGGCTTACAAGGAAGCCGAAAAATGCATACATAGATTTGCTTGCAGGAATGTCAAAAAGCTAGATATAAATTTGGCTTACAAGAGAGTCAAAAAGTTTTACATAGGTTTGATTACAGGAATGTCAAAAGGAATATCAAAAA